ACAAAGGGGTTGAATACTTAGTGACTCAAGACATTTCAGCTTTTCATTTTAAAGTAATTTCTAAACATTTCTAAAACCAAAATTCCACTTTGATATTATGGAGTATTGTGTAGACCAGTGACACATTTCAATTTAATCCATTTTAAATTCAAGCTTTAACACAACATAATGTGGAAAAAGTCAATGGGTGTGAATACTTTCTGAAGGCACCTATGTATATATCTACCTCAATTACCTCGTACCCCTGCACATTGACTCGGTACTGGTACCCTGTGTATATACCCTAGTTATCGTTACTTATTATTGCATTATTATTTTTCTATTATTTCTTGATTTTCTTTCTATTGTTGGAAAGGGACCATAAGTAAGCATTTCACTGTTAGTGTATACCTGTCTTACGAAGCATGTAATGAGTAAAATGTCATTAGATTTAAATGAACAGCTAATTTACATACACTGAGGGAAAAAAGTATTGGATCCTCTGCTGATTTTGTATGTTTGCTCACTGACAAAGACATGATCAGTCTATCATTTTAATGGTATGTTTATTTGAACAGTGAGAGACATAATAACAACAAACAAATCCAGAAAAATGCATGTCAAAAATGTTATGAATTGATTTGCATTTTAATGAGGGAAATAAGTACAGTGGGGAAAACATTTATTTAGTCAGCCACCAATTGTGCAAGTTCTCCCACTTAAAAAGATGAGAGAGGCCTGTAATTTTCATCATAGGTACACGTCAACTATGACAGACAAAATGAGAGAAAAAAAATCCAGACAATCACATTGTAGGAATTTTAATGAATTTATTTGCAAATTATGGTGGAAAATAAGTATTTGGTCACCTACAAAAGTTTCTCAATACTTTGTTATATACCCTTTGTTGGCAATGACACAGGTCAAACGTTTTCTGTATGTCTTCACAAGGTTTTCACACACTGTTGCTGGTATTTTGGCCCATTCCTCCATGCAGATCTCCTCTAGAGCAGTGATGTTTTGGGGCTGTCGCTGGGCAACACGGACTTTCAACTCCCCCCTCCAAAGATTTTCTATGGGGTTGAGATCTGGAGACTGGCTAGGCCACTCCAGGACCTTGAAATGCTTCTTACGAAGCCACTCCTTCGTTGCCCGGGCGGTGTGTTTGGGATCATTGTCATGCTGAAAGACCCAGCCACGTTTCATCTTCAATGCCCTTGCTGATGGAAGGAGGTTTTCACTCAAAATCTCACGATACATGGTCCCATTCATTCTTTCCTTTACACGGATCAGTCGTCCTGGTCCCTTTGCAGAAAAACAGCCCCAAAGCATGATGTTTCCACCCCCATGCTTCACAGTAGGTATGGTGTTCTTTGGATGCAACTCAGCATTCTTTGTCCTCCAAACACGACGAGTTGAGTTTTTACCATAAAGTTATATTTTGGTTTCATCTGACCATATGACATTCTCCCAATCCTCTTCTGGATCATCCAAATGCACTCTAGCAAACTTCAGACGGGCCTGGACATGTACTGGCTTAAGCAGGGGGACACGTCTGGCACTGCAGGATTTCAGTCCCTGGCGGCGTAGTGTGTTACTGAGGGTAGGCTTTGTTACTTTGGTCCCAGCTCTCTGCAGGTCATTCACTAGGTCCCCCCGTGTGGTTCTGGGATTTTTGCTCACCGTTCTTGTGATCATTTTGACCCCACGGGGTGAGATCTTGCGTGGAGCCCCAGATCGAGGGAGATTATCAGTGGTCTTGTATGTCTTCCATTTCCTAATAATTGCTCCCACAGTTGATTTCTTCAAACCAAGCTGCTTACCTATTGCAGATTCAGTCTTCCCAGCATGGTGCAGGTCTACAATTTTGTTTCTGGTGTCCTTTGACAGCTCTTTGGTCTTGGCCATAGTGGAGTTTGAGTGTGACTGTTTGAGGTTGTGGACAGGTGTCTTTTATACTGATAACAAGTTCAAACAGGTGCCATTAATACAGGTAACGAGTGGAGGACAGAGGAGCCTCTTAAAGAAGTTACAGGTCTGTGAGAGCCCGAAATCTTTCTTGTTTGTAGGTGACCAAATACTTATTTTCCACCATAATTTGCAAATAAATTCATTAAAAATCCTACAATGTGATTTTCTGGATTTTTTTTTCTCAATTTGTCTGTCATAGTTGACGTGTACCTATGATGAAAATTACAGGCCTCTCTCATATTTTAAAGTGGGAGAACTTGCACAATTGGTGGATGACTAAATACTTTTTTCCCCCACTGTATATGCCTATTTCATACCAGGGTCTGGGAAGGACATGTAGGGTAAGGGTTATGACCGACTGAAAGAGATGGACTGTGGAAGACCTGGGTTCAATTTCAAATAGGCCTAGTAGCCTATTTGTTTTCTTCTTTCAAATACTTTCTTCGAGCATTTGATTTGATCGGGCCTGGAATGCCAGAAATGGATGGGGTAGGTTTGCACTTTTGGGTCTTCTATTGGTTCCATAATTGTGCCAGACAAGCTCAGTCAATGAAGCATAGCTAAAGTAGGCTATATTGAAAACTCATGGCCTTCTCTTTGCACCCAGAGTGGTATACTACGACGCTAGCTAGATCTATTCAGGATTTTCTAAAGCTAGCCAGCTTCAGTTAGCTTTACATTCCAACTTAGGCTTCATCCATGTTATGAAGGTCGATATTGATCCTGCACCTGCTGCTAACTCAAGCCAGGCTTGTAACTGCACTTGCAAGTCTCACCTCGTGGATAACCAAGCGAGTCGAACGCTGAAACGGCAATCCGTGGGCGAGTCAGTGCCACATTTTTCATTTTTACATTCATCAAAATGTAAGAAAAGTTATCTTGCAAATTCAGGCTGTGGTGGAAAATAGGCTGTTAGAAGTGCCGTGTTTTCTTTTATTATGTGTAGCGTTAATGCCGTCTTTGTTGTGCTTATCAAAGAACAAGCACCCTTTTCCCACTCCTATCAATTAAAATCATTTTATGAAGTTGTAACAATCAGATTGGATCTCAAACCATGCTACAATATTAAAGTTCAAAGAAATACTGTGTTTTATATGAGGGTGACCAAAGCAAGACACAAAAGGAACCAATCCACTTTCTTTCAAATAAAGTTAATCAAGTCCAAATCCCAAATAGAATACCAATACAAAAATATTGATGTAAAACATCAATATGGACGTCCAGAATCCCACCCCAAAATAGTACCAAAGTCAATCAAAAAGCAAAGATGAGCAATCCCCAACAGGATAGATCTCACCAGATTGTTGTAGTAGAGGGAAATCCTTCCTGGAGGAGATTTCCTTACAATAGCTCGATGTTCATGGAATCCTCCAAAACCAACAACATAGGAAACCTTTGTAGTTGGGCTAACAATCCACAATAATGAGCAAAAAGTATTGACTTGAATGGTTAATTCTAGGCTGCTTTGGTACACACCAAACATTTCCCCCAAAATGCTACCTTTTTCTTCCTTTATTCCAGAATAGGCCTTCCCTAACGGAAATATGCAAATGCTGTACATACTAGAAAGTGCTAATAGGATCTCGCTAGCTCGCGATTGGCTCTGCCCACCTCCTTGCTTGTTCCGGTCACTGTGCTTTATTTGCTCCCATTGGAAACGACACCATGTGGTGCATCTTGGGTTAGTTATACAAATCTTTGCAACTATTAGTGTTTTTTCAAGATATTCAGTATATTGCAATACTCAAAAGTATCATGGCAAAGAAACAACATGAAGCAGACTGGATTTCCTGAGGAAAACAGACAATCCTAATGTTGGAAACAAACAGCCTGACTCTGTCACCCTGATGGTTGTCACTGAGTTACAATGTTTATTTCCCAAGCTATAGGCTAGTTCCCAATATTTGCATAGGCCTACAGCAGCAGGTTCTTAAAGGACCATAGAGTTCAGTCTTGCCTTGTGTTTTCTTCTTTTGCTATGTTAAAAAGTTGTATTAGGTGCCTAGTTAGTATTGTGACAACACTAGCCTAAATAATGCTGTAACATGAAGGGGCTTAGAATGCTGACAATTGGCCTTTTTCTCTTGAAGTGTCCTCCAGTATTTCCCCTAGGAATTTTTTTCAGCAGCTGTGGCAGAGGTAGCGGGGGGGGCTCGCTCTTGCTGGGGTCTTCCTAGGGCATACATCTATTAATGGTGTTGGCTACACTTCCAGGATTACAAGTTATTGCCTTGGAGGTTTCTCGGACGATCTGATGTTGTAATGTGTCACTGCGAGTCTCCAAAAATGTTTTGCGGCTTAGCACCACTGCTAAATTAATATAGGGGAAACACTGTGTCCTCTGTCCTAATTCGGTTTCCTGTGCAGCTTGAGCGTCTGTTTTTGATGTTGGGAGTGTCTGGCTGTGTGTAGGCCTATGACATCCTAGTTAGTTTTTTTGTAAACTTCAATATGTGAGTGCACATTTGACACCTAGGCCTATGTCTGTTTATTGAATTGAGCTCATACATGTGTGTAGTAGGCTACATGTACCAGGGTTGGGGTAATTTCCATTTAAATTCAGGACGTAGGCTAAGATATTCCAATCCAAATTGCACATTTTTGTAATGGCGAACATGCATAACGATGGCAGAATACCGTTATGAAGGCATTGTTTTATTACTATTGACATACGTCTACTTTTTAATCTATGGCGTGCGACATGGTTCATGGCGCCCATAAATCGTCATAATCTACTTTTCAAGTTGACGATGTCTTAAAGCTAGAATTGGGATTTTAAAAATCTGCTAATGAAGATAGCGAAGTCACGGAGAGAACGGTACAAAACCGCAAACGATGCATTTGTGGTGGGAAAGGTGCATGGAGGCCGCTATTTTTATGCACGTGGACTCCGCTATTGAAAGGCTTTGAGGAAAATTAGAATTTCAGTTTACTTCCTGAATTGAAATGGAATTCACCGCAATCCTGACGTGTAGGCTACATTTCAATGCAGACAAACTTAAGCTCATAGCCTCATACCTCTGTGTGTGTGTGTGTGTGTGTGTCTTCAGGCGCTGGCCATGCCGTCAAGTGTGCGGACCGGGAGCCTGAAGGACCCGGAGGTGGCTGAGCTCTTTTACAGAGATGACCCTGAGAAGCTGTTCACCGACCTACGGGAGATCGGCCATGGCAGCTTCGGAGCCGTCTATTTCGTAAGAAGGCTGGGGATCTGTGGACTTGGCTAAAGTGGGCAAATGGATGCATCTCACTCAGTAGTTTACCGTTTATTTTATTGTGTCCCCTTTTCGGAGATGATTTCTCAGTATGGATGAGCCGTAGTATGGAGATATTTGTTACTTGCTGCTCCATACATTTTTACTTAACAGTATGTCCTAGTACAGTATTTGGTACTTAGTAAACACCTGTAGTATGGGAATTCAGGCACAGTTTCAATTATGGATACATGGGAACTGGGAAGAGAGATGGAATGGGTAATGAAATGGTGTTGATGAAGGGTGAAATGATAGAGGGAGCCGTTAAGCTAGGTTAAAGACAAGTGAAGGATGAAAGGTAGGAGGAGGTGGTTAGTAACTGGTTAAAAGGTAGCACAGGACAAGAGATAATGGGGTAGTGAAGGATGAAAGGTACTGTTAAATGAAGGGTGAAAATTGGCTACTGAAGGATGGAGGGAGAAAGGAGAGTGTGAAAGAGGTGAAGCTTTAGTTTAAAAATTAGTGTGTGCTTGCGCTTGACGATATGTGTGAGGCAAGTGGCCACTGTTGTCAGCATGATTAGAAATTAGAATAGATTTGTGAATCTCTTTATTAATTTTGTGCTCCCGAGTGGCGCAGCGGTCTAAGGCACCGCATCTCAGTGCTAGAGGCGTCACTACAGACCCTGGTTCGATTCCAGGCTGTGTCACAACCGGCCGTGATTGGGAGTCCCATAGGGCGGCGCACAATTGGCCGAGCGTCGTCCGGGTTTGACCGGTGTAGGCCGTCATTGTAGATAAGAATTTGTTCTTAACTGACTTGTCTAGTTAAATAAAGGTTAAATAAAATTAAAAAATCAAATTAATTTTGTACCTTTTTCTTACCACCTATTCTTTACATTAGGCACATGACATCCGCACCAATGAAGTGGTGGCCATTAAAAAGATGTCCTACGGTGGCAAGCAGTCCAACGAGGTAGGAACACTGATCGAGCAATGGTCAAATGTACCTTGCTACAAAACTTCCTCACATTTGCTTTCTGTTGCGATGGTGTAGGCCAAGTTTTCAATGTGTTAAAGCTCTGTCTTTCTCTCTTATGAAGAAATGGCAGGATATCATCAAAGAAGTGAAGTTTCTCCAGAAACTGCGCCACCCCAACACAGTGGAGTACCGAGGCTGCTACCTGAGAGAGCACACAGCATGGGTAAGTGCTTCTTTAACTCAAACATGGGTTGCTTCCCAAATGGCACCCTAGTCCCTACAGTGTACTACTTTTGGGAACCATAGTGCTCTGGTCAAAAGTAGTGCACTATATAGGGAATAGGTTGCCATTTGAGACTCACTCACACATGGTTAAAGGTCCCTGACAAACTCACTCGTTGGTTGTTAATGTTTTTAGTCAGCCCCAATTCACTCACTATCCCTTCTCCTTGTCCCTAACCCTTCAGTGTTGGCAGATCTGAAGGGTCTGGGTAGGTATAAGCAGTGTAGTGGAGGAGCTTCCACCATATTTATTCCACCTTACAGATATGCAAACATTGAAGTGGCCAAGGGGAAGGTGTAGGGAATTAATCTTGACTGGCTCTCCATCACGTTGCCCCTCTGGCCTTCTTGCTCCATATTTTTACCTCTCATCTCTCTCTCCTTCATTCTCTTAGCTAGTGATGGAGTATTGTTTGGGTTCGGCCTCCGACCTACTGGAAGGTGAGTAGAAAACCAGAGGGTTCAAGTTTACGATATTTTTTTTTTTGCATAACAAGTACTTTATGTAATGTGATGTTTTTACATGATGAGGAACACTGGGGTGGTGAAGGTAAACCAGGGTTGTGTTCATTAGGCATGAAACGGTAGAAAACGGACTGAAACGTGGAGGGACTACCTGGACTTCCAAAAAGAAACACTCATTTCCATTCTATGTTGCAAAATGTTTTCTGTTGTGTTCTTCAAAGAATTAGGGGTTGTTACGGTAACATAGCTATGTACAAGTTGCGCATGGTGTTGAATTCATATAACCACCAAAAAGAGGGATACTAAACAATGTTTTGTCATTTTCTCTGAATAAAAATATATAACTGTCCATTTTGTCTCCCTCTGTGTGCGTAGTCCACAAGAAGCCCCTCGAGGAACAGGAGATAGCAGCCATCACCCACGGTGCATTGCAGGGCCTGGTGTACCTACATTCTCACAACATGATTCACAGGTGAGTGAACCTCTCTCCACCGCCACACGTTGGGACGGGAAGGGAAAGAAAGGAAATCTAAACAAAGGCTCTCATTGTTGAAGGGGAGGTGTGTCATGGATGTTGTAAACCTCTTTCTAACTCATCTCTCTGTCTTTCGGTCTCCTCTTTCTTACTCTTCCTCACTCTCTCTCTCTCCCTTCCCCTCTCCCTGTTTCTCTCTCTCTCTCTGTTTCTCTCCTTTCTCACCCCCCCCTCTCTACCCTCTTTCTCTCTCTCTCCGTCCCCCTCTTCCTCCAATTAAAAATGCTTTATTGATATAGAAAGTGTTATCACATACATTGCCAAAGCGAACATATAAAAAGAAATTAAGTCAATGATGACAGAAATAAATAATAACAACCACAATACTCAATGAATATAACGGTCTCTCTCTCCCCCCCCCCCCCCCCCCCTCTCTCTCTCTCTCTCAGGGATGTGAAGGCTGGTAACATCTTGCTGACGGAGCCTGGCCAGGTGAAACTGGGCGATTTTGGCTCCGCCTCCATCATCGCCCCGGCCAACTCGTTCGTGGGAACACCCTACTGGTGAGACACTGGCCTCCTGTTGTTTCTGTGGTCATTATTGTAAGATTGTCAACTCTATTGAGAACAAAGGGGATATGATCCACAAGTAGGACAAAAGTCCAAGGCTGTGTCCCAAATAGCACCCTATTCCCTATATAGTCCACTACATTTCACCAGAGGCCCTGGTCAAAAGTAGTGCACTATATAGGGAATAGGGTGCTATTTGGTACAAACCCAAACTCACTTTGTTGGTAAACCTATCCCTACCGGTAGGTTTTCATGTTTTTGTATTATTTCCTTCACTCCTTCTGTGCAGTGTGCACATTCACCTTTACACACACAAGCCCCTGCCACTGTCACCCACAACAACAAAGATGAGAGATCACTTCTTCCTCTGACAAGCGGTTTCAACTCACTATTTGCATTTAAGGTTTTGTCCAATAGAATCGGTCACATGGACACCAAAACACATTGGGACTTTATTTTAATGTAATAGTGAAGGTAACCTTTGTACCGATACCATTTTTATGTCTCAAATCTCCAAACTAGATGAAGAGCTGACACCACTAAAACGGGAGTATCAATGAACGTTGATTCTGGAAAATGTAATGCTCAGTTTGTCATGTGCGGCATTGCAGTACCTCTAGCAGCATTTTAGCCAAAGACTGTTATACTAGCTGTCTAGTTTGTGTTTTATAAATGTGCAATAAGCATAAAACACAATTCTATAAGGAATTGGCAACTTGTTTTCATTATGAGAAATAAGGTAGGCCACTTGATTTCAACATGAACAAAGTGGACAGGCTAGCATGCTGTTCAAACAGTTGGAGATGGACAGAAGGGTGTGTTCATAACAATTCAACTGTTCTGCCTTGTTAGCGCGTAAATAAATCCAAGTTGGCTAAACTTGAAATATTAAGATTAGCTGGCTACACACTAGCAAGTGGGCTTGTGCTTGAGAGATTGTTTATGAGACCTGTGTTAATTTTCTATAATGCCTGCTACAATAAGGTAGTAATTATTAGTGAATGTGCATTATGCATGGTTCTGGTTAAATTTGTAACAAAAAGGGCATTTTCATAGACCAGAAGCCAGATCAGTTATTATTATTATTATTATTATTATTATTATTATTTGTTTAGGGGCTAGATCAGCTTTAATACTGCAGATAGATTGTAGCTTCCATCAATGTAATTGTCTGCATCATTTCCCCCATATATGTTTTGGTAAATATATTTTCCTTTATTTTCCCCTAACCCTACCACCCCTCCCCTAATTGGAGTAAACTAATGGACAACAATACTTAGGCTTCTACTTCCAGCTTATACATACTATATACATTTTACGGACACAATGTATTTTATAGTTGTATTAATCCCATCTTCAGCTACCATCAACCCCTCCCATCTATCTCTGAAGACCATCCAGTTCTATTTTGGCATATATTTTTAACTGTGATCAGTGATTTTTGCAAAAAAAAAGCAGTTTAAGGTATTTTGATAAAATGATTAAATTATTAGTGGGTCATATCGTTGTGGAAGGCTTATACTTAGCCTAGGTATAATTTCACAAGCCCTGAATTCATTAGAGTACTGCTGACTGTTTGAAATGCTAGTGCATTTTACCTTTAATTGTACAACAAAGCTTGTTTAGAGAATTTTTTATTTTTTTTAATCAAGATATATATATCGTGAATAGCCCAGATAAGTTTAAAAATAATCTAGATGTAATTTTTAGGCCGTATCGTCCACCCTACCTACAGGGACTTGGTCAGCTGACAGAATAGAATCGCCATTGAGAAAAGGAATGCAGTTGGTCGGAGATCAAAGGATTACAAATTGCACTTGTATATATTGCACCCGTAAAAAAGTAGTGCACTATGTTGGGAATAAGGTGCCATTTGGGATACAGACAGTGTCTCATGCTTGCACCATTGTATTTTTCCTCCATACAGGATGGCTCCTGAGGTGATCCTGGCCATGGACGAGGGACAGTACGACGGCAAGGTGGATGTGTGGTCACTGGGCATTACTGCCATAGAGCTGGGTAAGCGAAGCACAGCCCATGTAATACACACGTTCACATTCATACAGGCTTTTAAGATGGATGTATCCCTAGTATGATATCATATTTTAGCCTCATATCCCTAGCAGACTGGAGTTCAAATAGTATTTTATTTTCTTGCCAATACTTTATCTGTGCTTGATTGAGCTTCCCTGGCACGATGGAACCAATGGCATAGTCCCGCAAGTGCCAACCCCGCCCATGTGGCACTCTGGGTAGGCTCAATCAAATGCTCAAAGTATGTATGTACAATACAGTGTCATGGTTGTTTTAACTGCTTTTCCTGTGTTTTATATTGGAAATCTGGCCTCAAGTGTATTTGTTGCTCTATGTCTCCTAAACCTTGTCTCTGTCTTTTTCTCTGCAGCGGAGAGGAAGCCGCCTCTGTTCAACATGAATGCTATGAGTGCCTTATACCACATTGCCCAGAACGAGAGTCCCGTTCTGCAGTCCAATCACTGGTGAGCAGTGGTCTGAGCACAAAGGAGGGACTTTTTTGTGTCAATGTACTTTCTGGGTAGCCTGGTCCCAGATCTGTTTGCTCTGTATAGCCACCTCCTATGACAATGACCTTAGGACTTGGCTATACAGCACAAACAGATCTGGGACCAGGGTACTTTTTGGGGACATTCAAGGTTCCTTCTCAGTACCATTCTCTACATCAGTGTTTCCCAATCCTGATCCTGCCCTAGCACTCACAAACCTGATATTAATCAAAGGCTTGATAATGAGTTGATTCAAGTGTGTGAGTGCTAGGACAAAAACAAATATTTGCACCCCTTTGGATCCCCCTGACCAGGATTAAGAGACACTGATCTAATTTACAATGACCTATCTACACCAATATGAGCCATTGGTGTAGATGGATAACGACCATAGTAAAGTGTGACGGAACAGTTTCTCATCGTTTGGTTTCTGTCCTATCCAGGTCGGATTATTTCCATAACTTTGTGGACTCATGTCTGCAGAAGATCCACCAGGACAGACCTACCTCTGACGTGCTGCTGAAGGTAAAAGCTCTCTCTCCGTGTCCGTTCCCTCTGGAAAAACAAAGTTATTCATAAAGTCTAAAGAACAACAGACAAACTGTTGTGTAGTGCCTCATTTAGAAACCAAGGAATGGTCATGAACTCTTTACCTGTTAGTAATATCGGAGGTGGCCCAAAGAGGTGCTGTGAGTCCTTATTCTCATAATGGCAAAGAAGCATCTCTTTAATGGCTCCAGGTTAAAGTGACGCTTAACTCTCCAACAGCTCCAAGTGGGACCATCTGTTAGAAATGACGTTCTTACATCCAGAATTGGTTGAACGTTGCAATCCGGTTTCAAAGATGGTTGATGCATTAAACCAAAAAAGATGGCATTGCTTGACATGGCGTCATTACAACCAGAAACTGGGTGAAATGATGTAATTCCAACATAATTCCGACCAGTTTTGCCTGCTGGGATAACCTTACCGCCCATTCTCCCTTCCTTTCCCCCAGCACCATTTCCTATGCAGAGAGCGTCCCCACACAGCGGTGATGGACTTGATTGCGCGCACCAAGGATGCAGTGCGGGAGCTTGACAACCTGCAGTACCGAAAAATGAAGAAGATCCTCTTCCACGAGGCCCTCAATGGCCCACAGCCCGATGGAGGGGAGGAGGAGGTACGGACTTAAGGGGGGGGGGGGGGGGGGTGAATGGGGGGGAGAGTGTTGATAAGGAGGGGGGGGGGGGTGTAAGAGAGGTGGTAGAAAGAAGGGGAGGCAGGTGGAGGGGGGGAGGAGGAGAGTAATTGCATATAGACAAAAGGCGGTAACAAGGGAGAGGGGAGTAAGTGAACTGGGAGGAGAGGAGGTAGAAAGGGACGGACAGGTGAGAGGAAATAGCAGTGGGGGAGCGATAAACTGGGGTGGACATGGAGAAGTTACAGAGAGGAAGAAAATGAGGCGGCAGGAAGGAGGAAGGAGGAGAGTGGTAGGAGTTGGCCACATAGCCATGGAGTCGAGGATGGTGTAGGACCAGAACCAACATAAACCTTCCATCAATGTAATTGTCTGCATCACTTCCAATCCCCCATGTTTTTTTTTCTCGCAAATAGATAGATATATAGATAGATATATGTACATACATACATATACACGTACATACACACATATACACGTACATATCCTTAAAAAATATATATTTCCCTTTATTACTTTCCAACCCCACGACCCCTTCCCTAAATGGAGTAAACTAGTGAACAACAACGCATCCGTCCTGTCTTTGTATAGCGTACATCACCACGGTGTAGTCCAACATTGTGTGCCTCATTGACCTCTCACCCCCTTCCTCCCAGTACAAAGGACTTGAATCCTTTCAGGATCTAATTGTGTTCACCCAGTGCCTTGCATAGAAATCAAAGGAATGCCCTGTTATGAATTTAGTGTGTGACTGTTTAAAATGCATCTGAGAGATGTTGGTGTAGTTGTTTTTTAGGGGTGCGTGTACATGCAAGGTTTGTGTGAGTGTGTACACACATACTCGGTATGTGTTTGGGTGTTGATGTGTATAGGCTATATAAGAATTGGTAACACTACCTATGTGTATGTAGGCTAGCTATGCGTTTTGAGCATGTGTTATCGCCACTACTCCTAACCACCTTCCTTCTGCCCCGGTCCTCTGTCTCCAGGACACGGAGCAGTACATGCTGCAGACGGGCACGGTCAACAGCATGGAGAGCTCCCATTCGCTGCCTTCCATGTCCATGAGTGCCAGCTCCCAGAGCAGCTCGGTCAATAGCCTGGCGGACGGCTCGGACGACAGCGGCGAGATGGCCATGATGCAGGAGGGCGAGCACACGGTCACCTCCAATTGCTCTGTCCTGCACACACCACTGGTCAGTTGGGACTCACCTTTAGTCAATTGTCACAAGTGTTTCCCCTAGATTATTTTTCCCAAGGCGGAGGGGGGCATAAGATAAGACCCCCAATTTGCCCAAAGCTTCACCCAGGACCTATTTCACAATTTATTCACAGTATGTAAACACTGTGCCAAATGAGGGGGATAAACGGTGACTATTTAGCAGCTAGATATGACCATTGTAAAATACAAAAGGTGAACTATTTTGTTGTTTTTGTTGTTCTTATTCTAAAATCTGTTTTATCGATTACTCGAGTTTAGTTCGCCAAATAAATGTCTCACTAGTGGCTAAGTAGCTACTATTTACCCCACCCACCCCGCCACCGTATCGATCCCACAATGCAACACATGATTTACACAGCAACGATTTCTCGCTCTCATCAGAGCCATGACAACATCTACGACGACCCCTACCAGCCCGAGCTGGACACCCAGCAGCAGCCCCCGTCGTCGCGGGGTGAGGGAAGAGGAGGGAGACGGAGAGGACACCGCAGCCGAGACCACTTCGCCACCATCCGGACGGCGTCGCTGGTGACCCGGCAGATACAGGAGCACGAGCAGGGGTCGGCGCTGAGAGAGCAGATGACAGGGTAGGAGAGCTTTTATGGAACGACCAATATAAAGAGGTCTCCTGTAGCTCAGTTGGTAGAGCATGGCGCTTGCAACGCCAGGGTTGTGGGTTCGTTTCCCACGGGGGGGCCAGTATGAAAAATGTATGCACTCACTAACTGTAAGTCGCTCAGGATAAGAGCGTCTGCTAAATGACTAAAATGTAAAGAGCCCGTCTGGAATTAAACAGCGAGGGATTGGCTAGTCCATAGAAATGAAGATAAATAATTATATAGTATTTTTATGAGGTACTCACTACTAGATGGCCATGCTAGGACGAACAAAAGTGGATACCTAGCGGCCATAACTGGATGAAATTACATAATTACAACCAAATTACAACATTTTCGTTGTAAACTGGTTGTTGACATCATTTCAACCAGCTTTGTCCACTGGTAAATACTCATTTGTGGTTAGAAAGCAGTAAATGCTGTTAAAAATGACGGGCACAGTTGGCTGTACTGGTGGTTGACAAGGGCTGCATTTACACAGGCTGCCCAATCCTGATCTTTTGCCCAATTATTGGCAAAAGATCGGATCTGATTGGTCAAAACACCAATTAGTGGCAAAAAATCTGAATTGTGCTGCCTGTTGCCGCATTCACATGCTCTATGGAACATCCCATTTCATAGTTGTGATGTCGGAAATACGACTGTTTCATTCATGTGCTTTTTGGTAGGATCAATTCTTCAACCAATAAGATTTTAGCTAGTGTGATAAGCTAGCTAGCTAACGTTGCTAATAATCAAGTTTGCTAGCTTGCTTACAATATGGGAAAACTAGCTATATTATCCATATTGGTAAGGTTGTAGTTGTCCAAAACTGATTTGTTATCTTTTGGTTGAAAAAGTAAAAGGTCAGTGGTGCATCAACACAACTCTGCATCAAAATGTATTTCCGACACGGAGGGTCGTTCAAGTAAAACTTCTCAGTCAGAACAAGGAATTTCAATAGCACATGAACGCGGCATATGTAAACGCAACCATACTCTTTTATCCATTGCTTCTTTATCCATTTCTATTTAGCTGTCCTGGATCGATACTCTTTATCTCCAATCATTGTTAATTTTTTTGTACTTTTACCCCTTTTTCTCCCCAATTTCGTGATATCCAATTGGTAATTAGTCTTGTCCCATCGCTGCAACTCCTGTATGGACTCGGGAGAGGCGAAGGTCGAGAGCCATGCGTCCTCCGAAATACGACCCTGCCAAGCCGCACTGCTTCTTGACACACTGCTTGCTTAACCCAGAAGCCAGCCGCATCAATGTGTCGGAGGAAACACCCTACAAATTGCGACCGTGGTCAGCTTGCAGGCGCCCGGCCCGCCACAAGGAGTCGCTAAAGTGCGATGGGACAAGGAAATCCTGGCTGGCCAAACCATCCCCTAACCCGGACGACGCTGAGTCAATTGTGCGCCACCTCATGGGTCTCCCGGTCACGGCTGGCTGTGACACAGCCTGGGTTCGAACCCGGGGCTGTAGTGATGCCTCAAGCACTGCGATGCAGTGCCTTAGACCGCTGCGCCACTCGGGAGGCCGTCCAATCATTTTTTTACCCATTCCAGTTGGCTGTACTGGTTTTTGACATGGCCTTCTCATGTCTAATCTTCCTTTACCCCGTCCCAGGTACAAGCGCATGCGGCGGCAGCACCAGAAACAGCTGATGGGCTTGGAGAACAAGCTGAAGGCGGAGATGGACGATCATCAGCTGAGGCTGGACAAGGAGCTGGAGAACCAGAGGAACAGCTTTGGAGGGGAGGGGGACAAACTGAGTAAGAAGCACCAGGCCATCCTGGATAAGGAGGTGAGGAAGGGATGTATGGAGGGAGGGAGGGAGGGAGAGAGAGAGGGAGGGAGGTGGGGGAAACCTCAGCAAAAAGCACCAGGCCATCCTGGAGAAAGAGGGGTGGAGGGATTGAGGGAGGAGTGTGAAAGGGATGGGGACACACTGAGCAAGTTCAAGTTTCAACTTGATTTATTCCAGAGAGACATATACCACCAAGCCATCCTGGAGAAAGAGGTTAGGGAGGGAGAACGGGATAGGAAGGAAAGGAGGAGTGTGAGGGGGGGGGGAAGGTGGGGAAAACCTTAGCAAGAAGCACCAGGTCATATTGAAGAAAGTGGGACGGGATGGGGTTAGGGGTGGACAGGAAGGGAATGAGATGGAAGTAAAAGTCGAAAGAAAAGAGGAGCGCGTATTGGCCATGGCGATATGGTGAGGCTATCCCAGGATCTCAAGGTACATTTGTAGGCCAAAGTTCTATGTAGGTAGTCAAGCCCAATAGAAAGTCTAGATTTTGAGGGGTTTATTCTTACCCAGCTATGTCCTTGTGTTGTTGGTTTTCAGTCCAAGGCAGCCCTGGCTGAGGAAAAGAAGTTCCAGCAGCACATCCTGGCCCAGCAGAAGAAGGAGTTGACCAGCCTGCTGGAGTCCCAGAAACGCCAGTACCGCTCCCGCAAGGAGCAGCTCAAAGAGGTACAACCACACTGGAACCATACTGTAACTACTCATCAACTATACCGCAGCCATACCGCAACTACACACCAACCATACCGCAACTACTCGCCAACCAATAAACCATATACTCACCAACCCTACTGAAGACATACTATAACTACATTTACGTCATTTAGCAGACGCTCTTATCCAGAGCGACTTACAAATTGGTTCATTCACCTTATAGCCAGTGGGATAACCACTTTACACTTTTTTTTTTTTTTTTTTTTTTTTTTGTGGGGTAAGGGGTGGGGGGGGGGGGGGGGGGGGTTAGAAGGATTACTTTATCCTATCCCAGGTGTTCCTTAAAGAGGTGGGGTTTCAAGTGTCTCCGGAAGGTGGTGAGTGACTCCGCTGTCCTGGCGTCATGAGGGAGCTTGTTCCACCATTGGTGTGCCAGAGCAGCGAACAGTTTTGACTGGTCTGAGTGGGAACTGTGCTTCAGCAGAGGTAGGGGAGCCAGCAGGCCAGAGGTGGATGAACGCAATGCCCTCGTTTGGGTGTAGGGACTGATCAGAGCCTGAAGGTACGGAGGTGCCGTTCCCCTCACAGCTCCGTAGGCAAGCACCATGGTCTTGGAGCAGATGCGAGCTTCAACTGGAAGCCAGTGTAGTGTGTGGAGGAGCGGGGTGACGTGAGAGAACTTGGGAAGGTTGAACACCAGACGGGCTGCAGCATTCTGGATGAGTTGTAGGGGTTTAATGGCACAGGCAGGGAGCCCAGCCAACAGCGAGTTGCAGTAATCCAGACGGGAGATGACAAGTGCCTGGATTAGGACCTGTGCCGCTTCCTGTGTAAGGCAGGGTCGTACTCTCCGAATGTTGTAGAGCATGAACCTACAGGATCGGGTCACCGCCTTGATGTTAGCGGAGAACGACAGGGTGTTGTCCAGGGTCACGCCAAGGCTCTTCGCACTCTGGGAGGAGGACACAACGGAGTTGTCAACCGTGATGGCGAGATCATGGAACGGGCAGTCCTTCCCCGGGAGGAAGAGCAGCTCCGTCTTGCCGAGGTTCAGCTTGAGGTGGTGATCCGTCATCCATACTGATATGTCTGCCAGACATGCAGAGATGCGATTCGCCACCTGGTTATCAGAAGGGGGAAAGGAGAAGATTAGTTGTGTGTCGTCTGCGTAGCAATGATAGGAGAGGCCATGTGAGGATATGACAGAGCCAAGTGACTTGGTGTATAGCGAGAATAGGAGAGGGCCTAGAACTGAGCCCTGGGGGACACCAGTGGTGAGGGCACGTGGTGCGGAGACAGCGTCTCGCCACGCCACTTGGTAGGAGCGACCGGTCAGGTAGGACGCAATCCAAGAGTGAGCCGCGCCGGAGATGCCCAGCTCGGAGAGGGTGGAGAGGAGGATCTGATGGTTCACAGTATCAAAGGCAGCAGACAGGTCTAGAAGGACAAGAGCAGAGGAGAGAGAGTTAGCTTTAGCAGTGCGGAGAGCCTCCGTGACACAGAGAAGAGCAGTCTCAGTTGAATGACCAGTCTTGAAACCTGACTGGTTTGGATCAAGAAGGTCATTCTGAGAGAGATAGCAAGAGAGTTGGCTAAAGACGGCACGCTCAATAGTTTTGGAGAGAAAAGAAAGAAGGGATACTGGTCTGTAGTTGTTGACATCAGAGGGATCGAGTGTTGGTTTTTTGTGAAGGGGTGCAACTATCGCTCTCTTGAAGACGTAAGGGACATAGCCAGTGGTCAAGGATGAGTTGATGAGCGAGGTGAGGTAAGGGAGAAGGTCACCGGAGATGGTCTGGAGAAGAGAGGAGGGGATAGGGTCAAGCGGGCAGGTTGTTGGGCGGCCGGCCGTCACAAGTCGCAAGATTTTATCTGGAGAGAGAGGGGAGAAAGAAGTCAAAGCATAGGGTAGGGCAGTGTGAGCAGGACCAGCAGTGTCATTTGACTTAACAAACGAGGATCGGATGTCGTCAACCTTCTTTTCAAAATGGTTGACGAAGTCCTCCACAGAGAGGAGGGGGGGGGGGGATTCAGCAGGGAGGAGAAGGTGGCAAAGAGCTTCCTAGGGTTAGAGGCAGATGCTTGGAATTTAGAGTGGTAGAAAGTGGCCTTAGCAGCAGAAACAGATGAAGAAAATGTAGAGAGGAGGGAGTGAAAAGATGCCAGGTCCGCAGGGAGTCTAGTTTTCCTCCAGTTCCGCTCGGCTGCCCGGAGCCCTGTTCTGTGAGCTCGCAATGAGTCATCAAGCCACGGAGCTGGAGGGGAGGACCGAGCCGGCCGGGAGGATAGGGGACATAGAGAGTCAAAGGATGCAGAAAGGGAGGAGAGGAGGGTTGAGGAGGCAGAATCAGGAGATTGGAGGGAGAAGGATTGAGCAGAGGGAAGAGATGATAGGATGGAAGAGTAGAGAGTAGCGGGAGAGAGAGAGCGAAGGTTGCGACGGCGCATTACCATCTGAGTAGGGGCAGAGTGAGTAGTGTTGGAGGAGAGCGAGAGAGAAAAGGATACAAAGTAGTGGTCGGAGACATGGAGGGGAGTTGCAGTGAGATTAGTAGAACAGCATCTAGTAAAGATGAGGTCAAGCGTATTGCCTGCCTTGTGAGTAGGGGGTATGGTGAGAGGGTGAGGTCAAAAGAGGAGAGGAGTGGAAAGAAGGAGGCAGAGAGAAATGAGTCAAAGGTAGACGTAGGGAGGTTGAAGTACCCCAGAACTGTGAGGGGTGAGCCATCCTCAGGAAAGGAACTTATCAAGGCGTCAAGCTCATTGATGAACTCTCCAAGGGAACCTGGAGGGCGATAGATGACAAGGATATTAAGCTTAAATGGGCTAGTGGCTGTGACAGCATGGAATTCAAATGAGGAGATAGACAGATGGGTCAGGGGAAAAATAGAGAATGTCCATTTGGGAGAGATGAGGATTCCTGTGCCACCACCCCGCTGACCAGATGCTCTCGGGGTATGCGAGAACACATGGTCAGACGAGGAGAGAGCAGTAGGAGTAGCAGTGTTTTCTGTGGTAATCCATGTTTCCGTCAGCGCCAAGAAGTCGAGGGACTGGAGGGTAGCATAGGCTGAGATGAACTCTGCCTTGTTGGCAGCAGAACGGCAGTTCCAGAGGCTGCCTGAGACCTGGAACTCCACGTGGGTGGTGCGTGCAGGGACCACCAGGTTAGAGAGGCAGCAGCCACGCGGTGTGAGGCGTTTGTATAGCCTGTGCGGAGAGGAGAGAACAGGGATAGACAGAGGCATAGTTGACAGGCTACAGAAAATGGCTACAATAATGCAAAGGAGATGGGAATGAAATGAACTAAACAGGTCAACTACTCACCAACCATAGTGTAACTACTTACCAACCATACTTTAAAGACCCAGTCCAGTCAAAATTCTGTTTTTCATATTGTACATCAGCTGACGAAACGAACACTGTAAAAGTGTGAAAAAATGTGATCAGTGTTATTTCCTGATATTTGCTGGTTGAAAATACAATTGAAACAGGACCTTTTAATCAGCAGGTTTTGCATGGGTGGAGTTTTGGCTTGTGTGGTGCCATCTCCAGGCAGTATAAGTTAATAGACCAATAACAGAGTTCCAAACCACTGCCAATAACAGCTGGTTTTCAGGTTACATATCCCTCCCATTAGTCCCCTCACTCAGACCACTCCCAGACAGTCCTAGCAATATTCTTGCTTGTGAAATTGTTTTTTTTTTTACAATTTTAATGGAAAACTATCATAGTAAGGTACTTAATTGTTACCCAGAAATGATTTGATATTGAGATAAAAACGTCTGCATTGGGCCTTTAACTACTCACTAACCATAGTGCAACTACTTACATACCGTAGCCATACTGTAACAACTCACCAACCATACCACAACCCCTCACCAACCACACCGCAACCCCTCACCAACCACACCACAACCACACTGCAACTACTGACCAACCATACCGTAATTACTCACCGACCACATCGCAGCCATACTGTAACTACTCACCAACCATACTTCAACCACTCATAGCTGAGAAGTACAGCTACACACCCAAAGCACCTGGCTGTTAACAATAGCCGTTAACAAAGATGAAGGCATGCAACAATATACCAACCACGTAGCAACCATTATTAACCCCTGCCGAAACACATGCCACCACTACACCTTAATCACAAATTGTTATATTGACCTATCAAGTGGTGGTGTCGTGCTCTGACCCTTCCTCCTGCTGTATTTCCCAGGAACTGAACGAGAACCAGTCGACCCCCAAGCGGGAGAAGCAGGAGTGGCTGGTGCACCAGAAGGAGTGTCTCCAGCAGCTGCAGGCGGAGGAGGAGGCGGGGCTCCTGCGCCGCCAGAGGCAGTACTACGAGTTCCAGTGTCGCCAGTACAAGAGGAAGGTGCTGCTGGCGCGCCACAACCTGGAGCAGGACCTTCTCAGAGAGGTATAGTACATCAACATTACCAATGGCAAATCCATCTTTCAGGTGACCTAGCAATAGAGATGTTTCGGAGTTGGTCAAGGCGCTGGTCTTCTTCTCATCATATAATGCTACCTCCCTGTGACGTTAAATGCACTGAGTGTACAAAACATTAGGAACACATGCTCTTTCCATGACATAGACTGACCAGGTGAATCCAGGTGTAAGATATGATCCCTTATGGATGTCACTTGTTAAATCCACGTCAATCAGTGTAGATGAAGGGGAGGAGACAGGTTGAAGAAGGATTTTTAAGACTTGAGACATTCAGAGGGTGAATGGGCAAGACAAAATATTTAAGTGCCTTTGAACGGGGTATGGTAGTAGGTGCCAGGCGCACCGGTTTGAGTGTGTCAAGAACTGCAACACTGATGGGTTTTTCACACTCAACAGTTTCCCATGTGTATCAAGAATGGTCCACCACCCAAAGAACACCTTGTAGAATCTATGGCCCGACGAATTGAGACTGTTCTGAGGGCAAAAGGGGGTGCAACTCATTATTAGGATGGAGTTCCTAATGTTTTGTACACTCAGTGTAGTACAGCACTAGTGCCTAATACCCAGCAGGCCAGATTTGGCATGTAACGTCTAAATTATGTAATTTGGTGGTTGTTAACTGGTTATCTGGTTGAGAAGACGTCACATAACCAGATTACAACCAACTGGTCTCTGCTACAACCAGGAAAGGACGTATTTCTCATGACGAGATCAAGACGTTGTGGGAAATATGTCTAATTTGGGGTATTATCTGGTCAGATAACCGGATTCTCCATCTCTCCCTCCCTCTTTCCCTACCCTCCTGTCTGACTGTGTCGGTCTGTCTGTCTCTCTCTTTCTCTCACGCTCTCGCTTTCTCTCTCTCTTTCTTTCATTCTTCCTCCAGGACCTGAACAAGAAGCAGACGCTGAAGGACCTGGAGTGTGCCATGCTGCTGCGCCACCACGAGTCCACCCAGGAGATGGAGTTCCGGCAGCTGGGCTCAGTGCAGCGCACACGGGCCGACCTGATCCGCACGCAGCACCAGTCGGAGCTCACCAACCAGATCGAGTACAACAAGCGACGCGAGCAGGAGCTGCGGCAGAAGCACACTGTGGAGGTCCGCCAGCAGCCCAAGAGCCTCAAAGTGAGTGAGAGGGAGACCCCCAGCACCCAGAACCAGCCACCTCCAGAGGAGGACAGGGGGGAGGAGGGCCAGGAGACAGGGGGGCGAATGGGAGCCCAGGCTGGGGCTGAGGGGGTGAAAGAAGAGGTGGGGGCGGTGGAGGAAGGGGAGAAGGGGGTGGAAGAATGTGAAACCAAAGAGGAAATGGAGGGAAACAAAGGAGAGGTTGGAGAAGGTTTTGAAGGAGGGATAGAAGAGGTTGTGCGAGACCATAGTGGAGATGGAAGGATTGAGAAGGAGGTGGGAGATGGGGATGAGGTTTGCTCCCATTTAGAAATAAAGAATGATGTAGAGGAGGAGAAGGAGAGCGAGACGAAGCTTGAGGACGAGGGCGAGAAAAGCAGGGATGACGAAGGACAAGAAGCTGAGGAGCGGAAAGCGGGGGAGGGAGAAGGAGAGCTGAGGCAGGTGGAGGGAGTGCAGTGGGGGGAGGAAGAGGGTGATGAGGAAGACGAGGTGAGATATGTTCTTGATAATGATGATGATGATGAGTTGGAGGGTAGAGGTGTGGCCGACGGCTGTCCGTCTGAGCTCATCACCTCCCCGTCCCTGGAACGGAGGCGTATCTGCGAGCAACGCAATGCAGACGAGCTCTCAGAGTTCTACTTCCCCGAAACCCTTGAGGAACTTGAGCCCCTTCCCCACTCCGCCCCTCCCTCCGTCCCCTCCTCCTTTCCCTCCCTCTTCTCTCACACCATCTGCCTCCTCCTCTCCCTCTCGGCCACCACCCAGCCCTCCAACCTCACCCTCCTCCTCCTCTCAGTCTTCCTCCTCTCCCTTCGTCGCTCTCCCCCCCTCCCCTCGCTGGCCTCCCTCCTCCTCTCGGGCGAGCTGGCCCTCCTCGCCCTTTTCTTCTCTTACCTCTTCCTCCGCTCCTGCTGCTCCCTCTCTCTCGCCACCTACCTGTCCCTCACTCTGTGGGCGTGCGGCCTCTTCAGCCTGGGCCTCTCGCTGAGCCTGGGTCTCTATTACGTCCCTGTGGCCCTGATCTCTGCCTCCTTCCTCAGCTCGCCTTCCCTCTTCCTCTCCCTCTACCTTGTGGTGGTGCTGGTGGTGCGGCCGGCGCGCGTCTTTCTCCAAAACGCCCCCCGGAAACTCAACCGCCTGTGGATGAGGTTCCTCTTCCGCCTCCCCCGCCCACTCTTCAACATCTGCCAGTCTCTCCTTGGGGGCCTGGCGGAGCGTAGCCTCTATGACATGTTCCCTAAGGCTGGCCGCAACTGGGGCGGGCGCCAGTCCAAAATCCCTGTGCCCCTAAAGAGTCTTCCCTTAGAGAGCCAGGCGGGCAGGAGCCACGTCCGCTCACCCCTTGCCACGTGCCTCCTCTGGGTCAGGCGCTTTGTCAGACGCCCCCTAGGGGTCCTCGCCGACCTGGCCAACTCGGTCGTGCTGAGGCTGGCTAGCAGGGTCCTTAAAGAGCTACCCCCCGAGTGCCTGAGCAGACTTCGTACATTCGGTCTGCTGAGAGAGGAGAAACCTAGCAGGCTCCCCAGGCTACTGCCCAGGGAGGTCAGAGAGCAGAGACAGAGGGAGAGGAGGAGGAGAGAGAGAGACCGGCAGAGGAGGGAGCAGAGAGAGCGTATGTTCAGAGACGAGGGGAGGTGGGAATGTGGGTTGAGGCGAACTTTATCCGGGCGGAGCGTGAGGGCTAAAGTGAGACCGTGGAGATAGTAAGAGAGGGAAAGAGTGAAGGAGTTGGACAGGGTGTGCGTGTGTTTACGTGTGTGTTCCATCTATCACTGTCTGACTGTCGTGTGTTTATTTTCATTTGGGTCCAGATGTTTTTATTCCTGCATAGTTTTTGGGGTCCAGTTTCAACCCTCCCAAAGATGGGTAGACCTATGATGCACACAACCGAACACTGTTTGCATTGGCTGAATGTGATTGGCCGTTTTAAAGTACTGTATCGCCAAAAGCATCCAGCAACTCCTGTCTTGTCACTGTCGTCTTATACCCCAGTGAAGTTTAAGCATTTGTCACTCACTATTGTGCTTTTTGTAAAAGTTTTTCTTTTTCTTTATTTTATTCTTAATTCGTAAGACAATATGTTTATGGTTATTGTTGAGACCATGTTTGTGCAATCTATTCTTGTGTTTCTATTGAAGTCCTAAGATTTCAGAAGATTATTTTTTGTGTGCACTGTTTGTGCACATTGAATTCCTTGTCAGTGCACAGTGGCTATCATTAATGGCCACTATTGATAGATATCATTCGCCGTGGATTGACCACAAATCAAGCATTTCACCCCAGTATAATACTAAAATACTGTGAAAGAAGTAGGCCGACATTCTGATCATTTCACTTAACCGCCTCCAAGAAACACTAATAGATCATTGATATAGTGCAATAGAAAATCAACCACACAAACTTCCAGAACAAGGCTGCTTCAATCCACAAAGCGAACTTTAACATGTTAATGTTACGTTCAAGCTTAAAAACGAAATGTGTTTAATACATCAAACTTGATGTAAATGCGCTAAACTGGAAAATTATTTCCCAAAACGTGTTTTTGTTCCAAAGATGCAGTACTGTACCTCTCAGTCATCTGAATATAGGATACAGTATACCATGTTATTATACCCAATTACCAGTTAGCCAAAGTTTTGTGGCTATTGCATATTAAAGGGGTGGTTGTTGCTTAAATGTCTTGTATTTTGCTGGGTAGTCAATATTGCTCAAAGTGGAAGAGTTCATACTTTGTAGTAAGACCCCAAATGTTAATGCGTAGAGAGCAGTGGAAGCTGGTGAAATGGTTATTACGTTATTACATTTTAAACTTCTAGTTAAGTAGATTAATTATTCATTATTGTGCTATTGGCAATAATCTTATATTACGAATGATTTACAATGTAAACATTTAGTTTTTCTCCTTCTGTTCGACTGAAAGTGTTTGAATGACTGTCTGTTCTGTTATACAGCCACAAAGGTTAGGCTACCTCCAAATTCACAAAAAAACATATATCATTTTTGTTCGTTTTAGTAGGACTATACTTTGAATATTATTTTATTACTATTTAATTGGCATATTGTAATGTCGTTCAAATGTGTTTTTAAAGCCAAAAAGAAAATATTTTGTGCTCATAAGTAATTGAAAATTAAGTCCAAAGATTGACGGGACCGCTGAATGTGAGAAAAATGCAATACTCATGAAGAAATTAACAATCGTTCACATTGTTGCAGTGTCCTAGATATATTTTAATTCAAAAGACTTCTCAACACTGCGAGAGTAGGCTGTTGCCAATGGGTTTTAACTAGTCTAAAATGATGCAAAAGTGTTTTTTCCAAAAAGGGCTGAAAATTACTGTTCAGTTTGTTACGCAAATTCTATTGAATTATTATATGTATCAAATTATATACACACACACACACACACACATACAGTACCAGTCAAAAGTTTGGACACACCTACTCATTCAAGGGTTTTTCTTTATTTTTACTATTTTCTACATTGTAGAATAATAGTGAAGACATCAAAACTATGAAATAACACATAGGGAATCATGTAGTAACCAAAAAAGTGTTAAACAAATCAAAATATATTTGAGATTATTCAAAGTAGCCACCATTTGCCTTGATGACAGCTTTGCACACTCTTGGCATTCTCTCAACCAGCTTCATGAGGTAGTCACCTGGAATGCATTTCAATTAACAGGTGTGCCTTGTTAAAAGTGAAGTTGTGGAATTTATTTCCTTCTTAATGTGTTTGAGCCAATCAGTTGTGTTGTGACAAGGTATACAGAAGATAGCCCTATTTGGTAAAAGACCAAGTACATATAATGGCAAGAACAGCTCAAATAAGCAAAGAGAAACAACAGTCCATCATTACTTTAAGACATGAATGTCAGTCAATCCGGAAAATTTCAAGACTTTGAAAGTTTCTTCAAGTGCTGTCGCAAAAACCATCAAGCACTATGATGAAACTATCTCTCATGAGGACCGCCCCAGGAAAGGAAGACCCAGAGTTACTTTTGCTGCAGAGGATAAGTTCAATAGAGTTAACAGCCTCAGAAATTGCAGCCCAAATAAATGCTTCAGAGTTCAAGTAATAGACACATCTCAACATCAACTGTTCAGAGGAGACTGCGTGAATCAGGCCTTTGTGGTCGAATTGCTGCAAATAAACCACTACTAAAGGACACCAATAAGAAGAGACTTGCTTGGGCCAAGAAACACAAGCAATGGACATTAGACTGGTGGAAATCTGTCATTTGGTCTGATGAGTCCAAATGTGAGATTTTTGGTTCCAACCATTGTGTCTTTGTGAGACGCAGAGTAGGTGAGCGGATGATCTCAGAATGTGTGGTTCCCACCGTGAAGCATGGAGGAGGCGGTGTGGGGTTGCTTTGCTGTCTGTGATTTATTTAGAATTCAAGGCACGCTTAACCAGCATGGCTACCACAGCATTTTGCAGCGATACGCAATGCCATCTGGTTTGCGCTTAGTGGGACTATCATTTGTTTTTCAACAGGACAATGAACCAACACACCTCCAGGCTGTGTAAGGGCTATTTGACCAAGAAGGAGAGTGACGGAGTGCTGCATCAGATGACCTGGCCTCCACAATCACCCTACCTCAACCCAATTGAGATGGTTTGGGATGAGTTGGACCGCAGAGTGAAGTAAAAGCAGCCAACAAGTGCTCAGCATATGTGGGAACTCCTTCAAGACTGTTGGAAAAGCATTCCAGGTTTATGCTGGTTGAGACAATACCAAGAGTGTGCAAAGCTGTCATCAAGGCAAAGGGTGGCTACTTTGAAGAATATAAAATATTTTGATTTAACACTTTTATCGTTACTACATAATTCCATATGTGTTATTTCATAGTTTTGATGTCTCCACTATTATTCTGCAATGTAGAAAATGGTAAAAATAAAGAACAACCCTGGAATGAATAGGTGTCCAAACGTTTGACTGGTACTGTGTGTGTGTATGTATATAGATAGATATTATACTTATAACTACGTTGAATGATTGCTTGGTCACCCGTTCATTGAGTTGCAGCCGGTTGTTTAAATGGGTAGTTGGCCATTGAAGAAGAGCCAGGGTAGATTGAGGACTAATTTAGAAGGATAAAAATGTCTGTTAAAACTTTAGCAAAGAATAGATTCTTAATTTAAATATATACATCTACCTGGGAGGTCAGGGGACATTTTATTTAAAGTGCAGGAATACTACTTAAAACGCAGGTCACCCAGAAAATCGTCACATGCATTTTACAGGTGAGCCATTGAGGTGGAAGGGTATTACTGAGTGTGATGCGGTAGGAGGAGCACTCCCTCTCTCCTGCACTGTATTCTAACACAAAGTAAACTAGGGCATTGCTTTCTGTGTGACCTGCATTGGAGGGAGAGTTAAAGAAGTCTTAAACTAATTTAAGGGTGATATATTATAGTGCATTTGGAAAGTATTCATACCCCTTGACTTTTTAACGTAACAATGTGTCTGAATACTTTCTGAATGCACTGTACATTACATTATATTCTGTCTTTAAAAAGAGGCATATCTTGTGTGCAGTTTTTTCACCCTTTGTTTTTTAAATGTAATTTATGATTTCAAATGATTTGTGTCAGTATATTTGTCTTATTTTTGTATGTATGTTTCCACAGTGTTTTATCTCATCAAGTTTAAATGAATATTTAATATATGCAGTATTTACAAGGTTAGTACTGCATTCTGTGTTCAGAAGACGTTTTGTTTGCATTTCATCCTCATTTTGAGTGCACGAGTGGTGGTGTATTGTATGTCTGTAAGTATACGCAGCATTTTGGCACACTTACAGGGTGTTTCTTCTCCATACAGAAATAAATTCTTTTTTTCTTAAAATCATGTTTTGTTCATTGCTATGATTTACATCTTTGTTTTCCATAATTTCCATATTGTTATCATTTCCATTTCTTTATTCATTCATTCAGTTCATCAGTTTACCAAACATTGAGAAAAATAATTGAACCTAAGTTGAATATTCCTCCAATTTACATGTATCCTCACTCATTTTGTCTCATCACATACAGTGCCTTCAGAAAGTCTTCAAACCCATTTACCCTTCCACATTTTGTTGTTTCAGCCTGAATTTAAAATTGATTCAATTGAGATTTTGTGTCACTGATCTACACACAATACCCAATAATGGCAGTGAAGTTTTGTTTGTAGAACATGAAACTTGAAATGTCTTGAGTCAATAAGTATTCAAGCCTAAATAGGTTCAGGAGTTTAAAAAAATCTTAACCAATAGCCTAATAATTATGCATGGGCTCATTCCGCGTTCAATAGTAGTGGTTAACATGATTATAAATAACTACCCCATCTCTGTACCCCACACATACAATTATCTGTAAGCTCCCTCAATCGAGTAGTGAATTTCAACCACAGAGACCAGGGTGTTTTTTTTTATGCCTCGCAAAGAACAGCACCAATTGGTAGATTGCTCAAAGTGCTGAATATCCCTTTGAGCATGGTGAAGTTATTAATTAGGCTTTGGATGGTGTATCAATACACCCAGTCACTACAAATATACAGGCGTCCTTCCTAACTCGGTTGCCGGAGAGGAAGGAAACTGCTCAGGGATTTCACCATGAGGCCAATGGTGATTTTAAAACAGTTAGAGTTTAATGGTTGTGATATGAGAACTGAGGATGGATCAACAACATTGTAGTTACTCCACAATACTTACCT